TTTTTAAAAATTAAAATTAATACATACTAATCTCTTTATTGTATAACTTAAGATTCATAAACAAGTATAACTCAGTTGACTTACTTGCTAGATGGACGATCGGTCAATACTATTGTAAGTCCGACCAAGGGCATGTTCAAGCTTTGGAATGGGTAACCTCATCCCCTTTAAACTTTTACTTTTACCAAAACAGGCAAAATGTCTTGTCAGACCTTGGGAACTCAAGTAACTCTGCTTTGATCTTTTAGCATTGCTTGGCAAGACCCAAATTTAGTTGCATACAATATATGAGTATGCAATTTGATTTAGCACATTTTTCTTTGATAAAAGTAATGATATGAAAATGTAAAGACCAAATGAAGTTATCAGCACCACACCATTCAGAAAGAGATTGGGTTGCAGGACAAATGGTTGATAAAAAATCCAATATAGTTGAGATTTAAGTCTTACATTTTTTTTTATGTTATATAATAAAAAATAATTTTTTTAAAAATAATTTATTTTAAAATTTAAATTAAAAAATTTTAATGTGAAAGCTCAAAATGTTAACCACTATAATATCTCGGAGCCAAATTTTGGTCAAACATAGCGACTAACTAGTGACTCCAATTCATGAACCCTTGTTTGCTTGCACAGGACGCAACTCAAGGATAGCCTCTTTAAACATATAGTAAAACAAGATAAATAAGCTACCAAAGGGAGACACCGGCCCCGGCCCGCCCCTCGTAGGACATCAACTTGATACAAAGCTCGAAAAATAGTCTGAAGATAAGCATTGAAGAGAAAAAAGCAAAACAGGACAAAGTACCTTGAATCCAACATTATTATCTTCAAGATACAGTACTGCTATAATGTTGCAGAGACCATACATCAAAGATTATGTACCGTTGAAGGGTCAATGGATGATTGTCCCTCTTTCCATTGTCCATTTCGCTTAGGTTAATGTTTGCCATGGTGGAAGCACATATCCCTTTCATCTCTGTAATTAAGCTAGACTTCCATGATATCAAAGTAACTAGGGTTCGAGTCGACAGCCGAATACAGCCAAACAAGTACGGTATTAATTTCACCAATTAAAGGTTTTTAGATGTCACACCAATCTCCATCAAGATATGGAGAATCTCACAATATCAATTGGTGTCGAGATATTGCGCCCTGGATGTCCCTAATAAAGAGCAGGACACAATCCCTTCTGGATTTTGCAATTCTTGAATCTTGTTCTTAATTTGTTTGTAGCTTTGGCCATGGATGAGAGTTTTTACGGTTCTGGTTGGGATGAAGCTGTAGACTGGGGTGACCCCAACGCTGCAATGAGCTGCGAGTCCTCTTACCCAGTCCCTTGGCCACTACCACCTGATTTCACTGCTTCCAACTCGACTCAGACATTGGATTTCCCTCCATGGACGTCTGTTCCAGTGGAAAGAATTGCACAAGAGAAAGCTGCCTCTATTTCCAGGAGCCATAGCCAAGCTGAGAAACGCCGTAGGGACAGGATTAATGCACAGCTTGCAGCTCTCAGGAAATTAATTCCAATGTCCGAAAAGGTAACTTGAATCCATCGTAACTCAATAATTAAGCGTGCTATAGCGAGAATAGAACATAAATCCTTCCTAAATCTTCATTTTCCTCCTTCATTGGTGCAGATGGATAAGGCAGCTTTATTAGGAAGTGCAATAGAACACGTGAAGGATCTCAAGCGGAAAGCGGCAGAAATCAGCAGAGCCTTCCCTGTACCCACAGAAGTTGATGAAATAACAGTAGACCATGATGCTAATGAAGATGAAAACGTGAGCTCCGGAGCCATCAGAGCGTCCTTCTGCTGCGATGATCGGCCAGAAGTGTTTACTGAGCTCATTAGAGTCCTCAAAGGGCTAAGCCTCACCACAGTTAAAGCCGAAATCGCTATGGTAGGAGGAAGAATGAAGAGCAACTTGATCCTTCACAACAAGAAAGTTGATCAAGAAACTGTTTCCTTGCCCAAAATAAAGCAATCTCTCACTGCGGTTTTGAGCAGAATGGCTTCAACTTCGGCCGGATCAAACAGCCGTATTAGAAGCAAAAGGCAGAGGCTGTTCTTTCCTTCTGCCTTAGAGAGCTAAATTATCAAATTGAGATTTTGAGAAACATATGAAATTATGATTTCTTTTCTCGAGTTGATTGTAGATTAAAACAAACGTCTATACTTATACGATTGCCTAGCCAAAGTCGTTGTTCCAAACGAGCGTTTTACAGGTCACACAAGAAACAACCCTTCGCCTCAAAGAGCAATCTTCATCCCTATAATAACCCTCAAATGTCGGAGAATTCGTTCTGATGAAGATGATGAAGGCGGTAATTGAATCTAGGGGGCTGCAGACGACTAACTGATCAAGCTGGTGGAGCTGCATGGGCCGAGAATTAAGTCCTTGATAAGTTCGGGGATACGAGGGAGAGTCCTTCAGACGCGATGGAGGACAACATCATTTTCGAAGTGCATGTCGTTCACCGGAACCAATGGGCTGTCCATTGCGCGCTTGTGCGGATAACACCATTAAGAACTACAGGAGCTTCGACGCTGGGCCGGGGAAGGGTTGTCTGAGTCACATTCTGGTATGAAACGGGCCAAAAGGTTGTTTGAATCACATTCTGGCATGAAGCGGACCAGTGTGGATGATCCATCGTCTCTGGCTCTGGTGAAGATGCACTGCTTGGGTTGTTGGGATGAGAGTTATGGACTCGGGGGTTGTGGAAGGAAACGATCGAGGTGATGGTAGCAGAGGAGGAGAAACGCACCGCAGATATGGAAGGCTTGCTTCTTAAACATCTCACAGCGTATGATAAACATTACGTATACTCTGAGTATGATCTGTCCTGGAGCGCGGCATAAAGATTTCCCCACATCTTGTAAATGTGAAAAGACATTCAACTTATTCCCCGTAGGCCGTAGCAGCAGTCAAAATCGAGAGGGTAGAATAGGTCGTTCTCCTAAAAATTTCTTTTCGCCAACTTATTTAAAATTTTTATTTTTAAATTAATATTTTTATATAAATTATATAGATTAATTTTCATGTTAATTTTTATAATATTATAATTATAATATTATGTATTATAAATTCAGTAAAATGCACATCAATCTTACCTCCCAAGAAAAATTTGAAGTCCCAACCAAAACAATTTTGTTCTCTTAATCCCCAATCCTCCTTCTTTTTGCCTCTTTTGCAATCATCTCCATCTCTATTTCCATCGCCTCCCATCTCCATCAACTCCTTCGATTCCTTCAATTTTTCAAACAATTGCATAAGTTAGAGAAGTAGCCCATGCAATTCATTATCTCCATCAACTCCCATCTCCATCGACTCCTCTGATGCCTCTAATTTCACTGCAATTCATCATGTAACCCTTGCTTCTTTGAAGGACAGTAAGTGCTTTGTTTTCTTACTAAGCTCTATCTACCCAAAAAAGTCAGAAAAAATCTTACTCCTATATTATCTTTGATTACAAGAATTAAGATGAATTCTTCTCCAATATTACAACAAATATCTCAAGATGAAATTGATGGGAACAACTGCTCAATTTTACAAGCAGTAAATGACAACAATGATAACTTCTTAACTGTACAAGTGGATGATCTTGAGGAATTAGAAGAGATTTCTACTAGTACTGCTATGGAAATTGAAGGACGCAAAATGTTGGGTGAAGATGACATTATTAGTGGGATGCCTCGTAAAGGTATGCAATATCCTTCAGCTGATGAAGCTTGTGAATTTTATAATGAATATGCCAAAAGAATGGGATTTAGTATTCGCACGAAGTCAGCAAAGAGGTCGTCCCTTGATGGGCTTGTTAATCGAAAATATTTTGTTTGCTACAAGGCAAGAAAAAAGAGAAATTATAAGCCTAAAAAAGTGGGAATATGTGACTGTCCAGATCGAGTAAATTGTTGTGCTCGAATGTCTGTTCTCTTGAAAGATGAAGTTTGGATCATAAGCCAATTTATTGATGAACATGACCATGAGATGTTTAACTCCCCAAATAAAGTAAAAAAGATGTGGTCCCACAACAAAGAACATTTATTACTGGAGACAATTGAGCTAATGGATCAATATAAACAAGCTGGTTGTGCACCTTCTAGAATTGCAAGACTTTTGAATGCGAAAGGCAGTGGTACATCAAATATTACCCCACAACAATGTCAACAACATTTGAGGAAAAAAAGGGAGAGTAACATTGGTCGAGAGTGCATGATGGTTATGCAACAATTCCTATTCATGATTGCTTCAGATGAAAACTTTTACCATGCCATAGAGATCGATGAAAATAGTGTTTGTAGGAGCTTGTTTTGGGCAAATGGGAGAGCTAGGGAAATGTATCAAAATTTTGGTGATGTTGTGGTTTTTGATATGACATATCGAAATAATACATTTCTTTTACCATTTGCTCCATTTACTGGTGTGAACTATCATGGGCAATCAACCTTGTTTGGATGTGCCCTCCCATCGGATGAACAGAAAGATACCTTTGTGTGGTTATTTGAGCGGTGGCTACAATGCATGGGGGGTAAAGCACCTAGTGCAATTATCACTGACCAAGAGCTAGCAATCACCAATGCAATTAAAAGGGTCTTTTTTGAACACACGCCATAGGTTTTGTAGTTGGCACATCTCACTTCATGAGGATGAGCATCTTCGGGCTTTAAGATCATCATATAATCATGGATTTGATGAATAGTATTATAAGTGGGTGAGAAAAAGTAGAACTATTGAAAAAGCTAATAATGCATGGAAAAAGTTGAAGGAGAAATATAGACAAGATTTTATGGAGCCATTGACAAATAAGCATCGCAATGAAAAAAAGTCCTGGAAATGGTTGGAAAGCATGTACGAGCAACAATATAGTTGGATTGATGTGTATTTGAGGGACACATTTTTTGTTGGAATGAGATCAAGTCAGCGAAGTGAGAGCATTAATTCATTTTTTGATGGTTATGTGAACTCTATGACGCCGTTATCCGAGTTTGTTGGCCAATATGCTAAAAGCTCTACAATGTCGTCATGATGAGGAAGTGAATGAAGACATGTGGACAATGAGAGCAAAGCCAAATCCGTGTCACTTGCATAAGGTAAAAGTTTGAGCTGGAATGGTTTACACTAGAAAGATGTTCGCTAAATTTCAGAATGAGTTCAAAGATTCTTTATATTGTGTGCATGATGAAATAGCTACTTATGATGAGATGACCACATATGATGTTAGTTATGGGTTTGGGGGCAAGTTTGATTCACACTTTGTGCAATGTGGTCCATTCAAGGAGGAGTTTGCTTGTACTTGTGGGAAGTTTGAGACTAATGGTATTTTGTGTAAACATATTCTACACATAATGATGCAATGTTATCGAATGGAAAAGATTCCTGAACGATACATTTTGGCTAGATGGACCTTGGCATATAGACATAACAGTAAACAAACTCAATTCATAAGCACATCAAAAGATTTTGTGGTTTCTGCACTTGATTCTTGGAATGTTCAAAAATCTCTTAATGAAGTGCATGACCAAGCAATAAGTCATAGTAAACTTTATAATGCTACTGCAGCAGTGGTGGAAGATTTGAAAAGGCAATTATATAGTATTAGAAAGGAACTTGAAGGTTTGGTTACTAAACAGAGTGAGCAAGATTTTGGTGCTCAAGCAATATCTCAAGATTTAATTTCAAGTAATATAAATATTCGTGATCTGGAAAGGGTTAGAACCAAGGGTTGACCAAAAGAACTTTCTAGGATTCTTGCAGGAAAACAAGTGTCACAAAGTACAACTCATATTAGAAGGCGGACTTGTAGTACATGTGGTATCAAAGGTCATGATTCTAGGATTTGTGAAAAGACAAAAGAAAAGGTAAAATTATTAAGTTAATCATTATTTTTTCACTTTTCAGCATCCTTTTGCCTATAACTTAACAATATTTTGGTTTTGTGCTTTGTTTATTAGGTCATAGAAGATGGAAATGCAAGTCAGTTACCCTATGCAAAGGAATGATTGTTATGATAGAGTAACCATTGAGCTTATTTTGTAAAGAATTGGAGCTTATTTTGTTTAGTATTAGGTTTGTTTTGGATATGAACTAAGTTTACTTTGTGAAGTTTATAGAAATTTGCAATGAGCTTACTTTGTGAAGTTTATAGTTACAGCTTACTTGTGAAGCTTATAGAAATTTGCAATGAGCTTACTTTGTGAAGTTGTGCTTTATGAAGTTTATAAAAATTTGTAATGCACTTATATAAGTTCTCTTAATTATTTGCAATGCCCTATAGAAGTTTATCATTTTAGATTTTCTACAAAGATTTGTGCAAATTTTGTTAATCGTAGTAGAAATTTATTTTGTACATAAAAGGTCAATTGCCCACTTTATTGAATATAGCCAATTTATAAAATTTGCAATGCACTTATATAAGTTCTCTTAATTATTTCTAATGCCTTATAGAAGTTTTTCATTTTAGATTTTCTACAAAGATTTGTGCAAAATTTGTTAATTGTAGTGAAAATTTATTCTGTACATAAAAGGTCAATTGCCCACTTTATTGCATATAGTCAATTTATAGTGTACAGTACAAAATTTTGTCTATTAGCTTACAAGTCACATTTTGGCATAATAAAGCCAAAAAAACATGAAAAAAAGAAGAAACCACAAACAAGGCTAAATCTATAGAATGTCTTGTTTTTTGGCCTTTTTGCAATATGCCTTGTTCAACTCATTCTTCACAACATTCTCCACAATGAAGGAAACTATCTTCTTCTCAAAAGCAGCAGCAACCTCATTCTTCAATTGTTCAACCTCATCATTGAAAAAGACCTCTTGAGACCTCATTTGTACTAAGTTGGCACCTCAATAGTTGTAAAGATAAAAGTTAACATCATTTTCCCTCTATTGTCATGCCATTCAATTTTTTAAAATCTAACCTATCATAACAAAAGAACTTTCTTTCGCCCACTTGAATTTTTCCTAAACATTAACCTTGTCCAAACAACACAACCAACAAAAACATTTCCATTTGACTTGACCAAAGCATTAATAAACCAAAGAGTGATTGATTCTTTCATGTTTCAAAAAGAAATGATTCTCATATACACAAATACAACCTTCAAATTAAAACCATAAAGTCAGGCCTAAATTCTGGAACAAATAAATTCTAATAGCATAGGTACCTATATGCAAACTTAATGTAAGGAACAAATAAAAGCTACCAATCTGGAAAACTCCAAAGTCAAGCCTCTAAGGGGCACCGAGGAAAACAGTACTAAATTCTAATAACATAGAGCAGTTTTAAAGGAAGCAATGTGACAACACCATTAATACTACAGTCACTTACATGGTCTAGTCCTCAAAATGCTAGTATTCTATAGCATCAACAAATAATTCACATAATTTACAAGGCACCAATTTAAGAATTTTATCATCAAATAGCTAAAAAAAGATGGCTCTAGCTACCAAATTTAATTTAATAAATAAACAATTCCTAAAAGCAAACTTTTCTTTTCCAAATTCAACAAGAAATTGGTGTAAGTAAACAAAAAAGCTTTCTGTCCCTGTTGCTACTAGGGAACAAAGAGGGTAAATCGTTGAACTTCAGAAGGTCATTTCCTTCAATTCCTTTTTTGTTACTATCGACGGTGTGATTGTATCTGAAAAATTTGAGGGATCGATCATTAAAAGGAGACCCAACAAAAAAGAGAGATTTTTTTAACCTTTTTGGATAGATAGAGCTTAATAAGAAAACAAAGCACTTACCGTCCTTTGATCCTTTCTCTGTTACCATAGACGGAGATGATGAATTGCAGTGGTAGAATTGACTGAGATGATGAATCGCAGCAATAGAATAGCGTTAAAATAGTTGGTGCTAGGGATTAAGTCGATGGTATGGGATAGCATTTGAAAAATTGAAGGAATTGAAAAAGTCGATGGAGATGATTGTAGAAGAGGCGAAAAAAAACAAGAGTTGCCATTGACAGAGATGATGAATTGCAATGGAATCGAAGGAGATGGGAGACTATGGAGAAGGAATTGGAGGAGTCAATGAAGATGGGAGGCGGTGGAGATGATTGCAGAAGAAGCAAAAAGGAAGGGTTGGGAATTAAGAAAACAACGTCATTTTGGTTG